CAGATCAGATTGCTCTAAATGAGCGTGGTACCGTTTGGATGCTGAAGAGGATGATGAAGACGAGGACGATATTGCATAATCTTTTTTGTTATATTTTTTTCGGTGTCATTTCAAACTTGATAATTTGCATCGAAGAGTTTAATAATTTCCCGGATGAAGGGAAACGGGATTTTCGACCCTGAAGAGATGCCAGAGCAATATCATGGGTACGATGAATGTCTTGACCTAATTATTTTTTCTTCGATGTACAGCAGGATAGGTTTCCTTCTGAAAAATCGTCCCACCATTCTTCGGATGCTGAAGAGGTCACCAGAGACCAGGAGATTATTACGGCAAGGTGCACCATAATTTGTGTCATTTCCCTCGAGTGTCCCCCACCTTCCAGGGGCGCGATGAAGAGGTTAAGGCGTGGTTAATAGTCCGGGACCAGGGGTTAAGATCGTGAAAGGGTCCATTAACTCCACCCAAAGTGATGGCCCTTTAAAGTTCGCCCCTGACTAGGTCCTCGAATCGGACAATGGCGAAGGGTCCGGAAAGGTTGCGGTAGGGTAGGAAATGTCGAGGTCAGGGTTCACCGACTCGTTACTTCACCTTAACCCTGATACCTCCATTTCTCTTCTGAGCATCCCTCCTCTCCCAACCCGGACAAAGTAAATGAACAAATGAAACGAATTGAAATAAGCTTTATTTAAGGTAATGTGAAAATGGCGTCAAAAGTCTCGTTTATGACACTTTCCTCCGAACTGGGTGTCACGAATCGCTTCAAACTTTATAACATGAATAAGAAGACCGTAAGGAAGGTCCCCACACCCATGAAATTTGGATTATTAAAAAATTATTTATAAACATTTTTGAAGAAACGTGTATAAGAAATTAAATTTCATGAGTGTCGAGACCTTCCTTGTAGTCTCCACATCCACGGTGTCAAGTTTGACACGATTCGGTGCACCCAGTCCGGAGAAAAGTGTCATAATTGACTCCTCGGATGTCACTTTGACATCCCCTTAATCCTCGGAAATACTCCCTCCACGTGAATTGTGCGGAGAAAGAGGGCATCAAAGAAAAGGTGTCTCCCTTCGGCATCCCAGCGGAAGGGAAACTTCCGTATCACGCGAATTACGTTCCCCCTCGCCCCCGGGGGGTGTCATACCCCCCGTAAACTCTTCAGGGTACAAGTCAGTTCCCAAGACCGAGAGGAAAAATTTGACCATTTTCTCAGGCGGCACGAAACGCTCGTTCCCTCTGCCGAGATGTCGCCAAGACACGCCTTTGGTGTGAAGAACCCCCACCCCCCGCGGGGGGTAAATTCTCGCAACACCTCGAAACTTTTATCCTAAGAACTACGAGAAAGAGAGAGAGGGACCTCTCGTCCTGGTAACTTTGCAAATTCCCTACTTTGCCCCGGGGCCAACTTAGTTTGCGCCCCATTCGCGACAATAAGACGCGTGATGACAAGGCGCGACCTTCGGGGTCCTCTTCAGGGCCGCCATATTGGATTCGGTCTGCGAAGGGGAGAGAAAAGCTCGCGAAGAAGGATCGATGCTGACCAGGAGCCAGAAGACGTCCTGTGGTCCTTTTCATCCTGCCTCCTGAAATGTAAAATTCCTGGAATGGCATTTCTTCGTCGACCTTATATTTCCAGGAATTCTGCATAATTCTTGTTCAATGTTTTATATACGATTTTACTTTTTTCGCCCCGTCTCCCAAAATGCAAAATTCCTGGAAAGGTCTTCATCGTCCTCTTCCAGGCAATTTGCATAATTTTTATAGGCTGTTTTATACGAGTATGTAATTCTACGATTAAATTCGATCATGCGCTGAAGGTGTAGAGATCTGATGAATATCATTAACGTGCAGCCGTCAGATTCCTGGAACGATATAGGAATACTTTTTCCCCCCAATTTACACGCAGTTTAGTGCTAAATTCATCAGCTCTTCGGGTACCGTTCCTGAAGACGAATTTTACGATTAAATTCGATCATGCGCGGAAGATGCAGAGATCTGATGAATATCATTAACGCGCAGCCGTCAGATTCCTGGCACGATATAGGAATACTTTTTCCCCCCAATTTACACGCAGTTTAGCGCTAAATTCATCAGCTCTTCGGGCACCGTTCCTGAAGACGTCCCGGGGGATGAACTTACTTGAAAGGAACCCCTAAACAGGGGTCGGGTTCACCTTTTGTACCGCCGTCTGAGATTCTCTCAGAATTCCATTTCCCTCGACTCGGGGAGGATCTGGGAGACCCTGAAGAGCTTGCTGAAGAGGTCGCTGAAGAGCTCGCTGGAGAGCTAGCGTTCCTCCCGGATTAATTGATCCCGAGGAAAGGACTTTCGGAGACGATTTGGCCAGGAAATTCTAAAACTCGATCGGTCTTCCTTTACGTCGCTCACTTTATTCGTAAATGACAGGTGATTGTTCTCTTTTGACAGAAAGTGACACTTTCCCTCGTCTCGTCGTACAGATAATGTCATCGATCGAGGACCCGGAAAATCATCGAATCCTCGGATCGCGTTACAATAAATCTTAAGTTACACGCCTTCGAGTCATCGAGATCATCGATTCCGAGGACGAATGATTCCAGTCATCTCATTACTAGTGACGTCATAATGATCTTATTCAATTTTTATCCCGCAAGGACGAGTCATTTTTTTTTAATATCCATTCAATCAGCGTATCATTCCTCCTCGAACCGCGATCATCGCGCGTTCTCCAGTGACGTCACCTCGCCGATAAAATCATCCAATCATCACTTTTTCAACTATTTCCAGAAATGTACATATACATATACATATATATATCGAAAATGTTAATTTACGTCTAATTCGGGAGAGAATTTTCCCATCGAACAGGCAAATTGGATAATGACAGCCAGAAGCGATGATTGATTTCAAGCTTATCCGACTCATCGCATAAATATCGTTTTGTAACATTTTAATTTGTCAATTATAGTCGGTGATTAATTAGGATTATTTTGATCGCCGGTTCTCGGCTCGACAATTTTAATTATCCAGTTATCACAAATGGAATCGAAGGCTTATCGGCCGCGGATCATTTTCTTCTTTGTTCTCTGCATCGATCCGCTAAAATCGACCTCGCAAATGTCATCTTAATTGCGAAATCACTGCGTATTGTCATTAGAATAAAGCACATTGTTCAATCCTCCCCTCGCCCCCTCCCACTTTGTCGCGTACTCGTTTAATTCAGTTTTATGGCACCCTTAAGCTACCGCTTGCCGCTTGAAATACTGTTCCCTTTACGCTCTAAATCACGGAAAATATCCCGGGAAAACTGGGGAAACTTCCCCAGATCTTCGGCAAAGATGGCCGACCTCGAAAGGCGACTCCGCGATTGAAAATCGAATTTCCTCCCCCACTATCGGGAGCAACAATTAAGTTCTAAGTACTCGACTGGTAAGTACCGCAGAAATCCTGCAAGTCGCACCTGCATTAAGTACTGCTAGCACATTTCCCCGGAAAACTCGGGAAAATTCCGCACGGAGTAAAATCGGAACTCCCTGAAAAAAAAAAAATGCAATTCCATCGTTTCACCCATAAAAGAAATTCCGAATTAATTCCAGCGTTCACTCTTCAACGATTTTTCTTTCGTTACTTTTCACTTAAATAAATATATATGTATATATAATAAATTCTTAAGTCGGATTTCACGCCGTGGGGATTTTTCGCAAGGTATATAAAAACCCACCCTGTCGGCTAGATTTAAGGAGTTACCACCCTTAGAACAATTAATGAATAATTTATTATTAAGGCTGATTGAAGGCACGCCGGGGCTCCATTTTTCTAGGCACCCCTTTAGGGGGTGGTCCACCCCGTGGGGGGGTTTCAACCCCTGTTGAAGGGGGGAATCGGGTCCCGGGGGAGGAAAAGTCGGGAAGTCGGAAGAAAAGGAACTGTCCCGAAGACGTCCACGACGCGATCGGGGACGGGGATGCCCTGAAGAGGGGTGATAAGGGGAGGGCCAAGGGGGAGAGAAAGAACCGTCTCATCCATATTTCATGGGACGTCGTTAGGCGAGGGCTTGATGTCATTAGAGTTGCACGAGTCAACTCCGAATCGAAATTCACCTGGGCTGGCGTTTCGAATTTGGCGGTCCCGCGAGTATCTCGCGAGTCTCGTCGCTCCAGATAGTAGATAACAGGAGGAGAAAAGAAAAGAAGTAAAAGAATCGAAAACGGCCGGAAGCGGAACGCAGGAGGACGCTTCCGATGGCCTTCCTGCTGGAGAACTTAGATCCTTCACCGGGAAAAAGGACACTTCTCAATTTTGGATGTCACGGCTCATTGCCTAGGGACCATCGATTGTACGTGTAGGTGATTAAACTAGGATAATACGAACGGAAAGAGATGTCGGAGAGAATTTTAAATACTTTAAGAATTTTCAATACTCGAAATGAGTTGAATGAAAGAAAATCGAGTTTTGGGGGAGAAAAGGGAGCATCGACTTTGCTGGTTCCACCCAGATCGCGATGACATATTATTAATCCAGGATAATTCCTTGAGGACGAAATATTCTAATCGATGATTCCCCGAAGCCTGGGGGCCTTAATGAGAATTGTTACGAATTTTATGTACGCAAAATGGGTTTTAACGAAATTACATTTTGGAAAACTAAGGAGCATCGACTCTGCTGGTTCCACCCAGATCGCGATGACATATTATTAATCCAGGATAATTCCTTGATAAGGACGAAATATTCTGATCGATGATTCCCTGAAGGTATCCTTAAGAAATGCTTCCGAATTTTTTGAACAAAAGTGGAATTTTGGAAAACCAAGGAGCATCGACTCTGCTGGTTCCACCCAGATCGCGATGACATATTATTAATCAAGGATAATTCCTTGAGGACGAAATATTCTGATCGATGATTCCCCGAAGCCTGGGGGCCTTAATGAGAATTATTACGAATTTTATGTACGCAAAATGGGTTTTAACGAAATTACATTTTGGAAAACTAAGGAGCATCGACTCTGCTGATTCCACCCAGATCGCGATGACATATTATTAATCAAGGATAATTCCTTGATAAGGACGAAATATTCTGATCGATGATTCCCCGAAGCCTGAGGGTCCTTAATGAGAATTATTACGAATTTTATGTACGCAAAATGGGTTTTAACGGAATTACATTTTGGAAAACTAAGGAGCATCGACTTTGCTGGTTCCACCCAGATCGCGATGACATATTATTAATCCAGGATAATTCCTTGATAAGGACGAAATATTCTGATCGATGATTCCCTGAAGGTATCCTTAAGAAATGCTTCCGAATTTTTTGAACAAAAGTGGAATTTTGGAAAACGAAGGAGCATCGACTCTGCCGGTTCCACCGGATCCGCTGGAGGACTCGGAGCTACCGTCCTCACTAGTTCCTGAAGAGAATCTAACGCATGCGTTTACAGGGTAAATCTAAGTACGCACTGTGCACACGGGTGTCCACATGTCCCGCACTAGTCTATATAAAACATTTAACGTACGATATTAAAGTAGCTTATAACGTAACCTAGCATGGATACGCGCAGGCTGGTTGGACGAGGATCGAGCGATCGCTCTTCGTGCCGGAAGCCGGAACTTCTGGTGTCCTGGCCCGACTTCCGGTGCAGATTCGTCGCCTCTTCTCCTGCAAGATGCCTTCCGGTTTCACGCGGGGTGGCAAGGGGGTTGCGAGGACTCCCCATGAGGTCTACTCCATGGCGGCTTGCTGAAGAGCGACCAGGTGAGCGTAGAGTCCGTCCGCGGCGATGAGGTCTTCATGGGTTCCCATCTCGGCCACGGTTCCCTTCTCCAGGACGCAAATTACGTCCGCGTTCTGGATCGTGGCGAGTCGATGGGCTATGGTGATGCAGGTGCGACCCTCCATCGCTTTGTCCAGGGCAGCTTGCACCACCTGGAAGCAGGGAAGAGAAAAGACGGTTTTAGGATGATCAGGTGAGATCAGGTCGAAGATGCCTTGGATGCCCTAGACCACGTCATCTGGAAGCTGGATAGCAAAGATGATCTTAGGGTGAACGGACAATAAACTGATCGGGTGGATCTTTTTATACCTCACAGGAGCGGTTTGATTTGCATAATCTTGAAATTAGAAGAATAATGACGATTTAAAAATTATTGGATAGATCATCTTGTTCATTGTCAGGTCTAAAATGGCTTGCAACATCTGAGGAAGGAGCAAAAGGTGACGATTTTAGATCCATTAGCCCAGATTCGAGGAAAAAGAAGATCTCGCACTCGATTCCTGGCATCGGCGCGGCCGGTTTTTCGCGCAGCCTCCGCTCGATTCCTGGATCCCTTGGGAGTCCCTCGTTTCCCACTCATCCCCTTAGGGTGAACGGACAATAAACTGATCGGATGGATCTTTTTACACCTCACAGGAGCGGTTTGATTTGCATAATCTTGAAATCAGAAGAATAATGACGATTTCAAATTGATTGCTTGGATACATCTTGTTCATTGTCAAGTCTAAAATGGCTTGCAACATCTGAGAAAGGAGCAAAAGGTGACGATTTCAGATCCATTAACCCAGATTCGAGGAAAAAGAAGATCTAGCTCTCGATTCCTGGCATCGGCGCGCAGTCTCCGCTCGATTCCTGGATCCCTTGGAAGTCCCTCGTTTCCCAGCAAGATCCTCACGGAGCGTTGTTCGCGCCCCAGGGTCGGGGCCGTTTAATTGGTGGCGCATATCGCACAATGGGGCAACGCTCGCGTTGAAAACAGCCTTTTGTCCCGAGCGGACTCTGCCTCTTGACCCACGCATCCTTGAAAAGTTCCACCTAGCCGTTGGAGGAACGCCAGCTTAACCTTAAAAGCTTAACTCGGAGTCGCTCTTATTTCACTGTAAAGAGACCAGCAGGAGCCCCCTGGCTCCTGGGTCCAGAGAACTGATGCGGCAATCTGGACAGATTTATCTCGTCAGCCCATATTGTGCCCCGTTTCTCCGAGTTAAACGCCCTTCTTCAGCATCCCAGCCGGGGTTTTATAATGCTCTGGTGGATCTTCATGCAATTATTCCGCAACCTGGTGCTACTTAGTGTTACCATGTACTCCAGTCTTGGTTTTCCACATTTTGCAAGGGGGAGGTTGATCACTGTTTGCCACCTTCCAGGTTACAATTAAGTGTATCCTCTTCAGGGTAAATCGGGAAATGTATTTCGACGCATACGATTGCAGAACCGTGGTACCAGATTTCCAAGGTCCGGCCAAAGTGGCTGGACGAAGCTGCCAATTTATAGAGTCTTAGAAAGCATCTACGGGATCAGGTTTACCTTTTCGCTTTGCGTGTCCAAAGCTGAAGTGGCCTCGTCCAGTAAGAGGATTCTTGGGTTCCTGACGAGGGCCCTCGCGATGGCGATGCGTTGCTTTTGGCCCCCAGAGAGCTGAGTTCCCTTGGTACCGAGTCTGGTGTCGTACCCCTGAAAAGAGACAGAGACCGACCTTGAAGAGACCCTTAGCGAACCCGAAGAAGGAAGAACCTAGCCCCAGGTCCTCGTGCCAGGCGAGGAACCCGTGTTATCCATTCGATTATCCATTAGGGTGAGCTGATAAAAGAGAATCCGATAACTCCACCCCGCAGGACTAAATCCGGCTCTTCAGGGTCCCTCGCCCGGAAGAAGTCAAATCGGCTTAATCGACCCCTCCCCATGCAAGTCAAATCCAAGGCGGGCGTTTATCCTGATGAACGCATCCCGAGTGGAAAGCTCCTCGAGACCCTGAAGAGGCACTTTGTCCCTTGTGAATGATAACCCGCAGGATTAAAGACAAGGCAGGGTCGTAAATCTTGGAGAACCGAAGAAGCCGGATGGAATTCTAGACGAAGAGGTTCATCCCGATCTTGATCTTGACCTTTCATTAACTCATCGGGTAGGGACAGTTGAGGTGAAAAATGTAAGGCCAAGATGGAGATGATAAATCATATAGGTAAGACCAAGACATTACTAACAAAGTGGGCTCCAAAATGAATCCGAAGACTCACCAGGGGCAGAGAGCTGACGAAGCTGTGGATGTTGGACTTCTTGGCCGCTTCTATGATCTCATCCATGCGAACCGTGCGTGAATTATCTCCGTATGCAATGTTCTCGGCGATGGTGCGGTCGAAGAGCACCGGTTCTTGACCTACGACCCCCAATTGCGCCCTCAAGGCAGACAAAGACACCGAAGAGATGTCCCGCCGGTCCATGGTGATGGTCCCAGACAATGGGTCGTACAGCCTCTGCAGAAGCTGGATACAGGTCGATTTACCACATCCACTTTGACCTACCAAGGCCACCATCTGACCTGGCTTGACTATCAAATTTAAGCCTCGCAGAATCTGCATCTCGGGGCGAGTCGGATAATGGAACTCCGTCTTCGAGAACTGGATCAGCCCGTCCGCCTTCTGCAAGTTGAATAAAAAGCCTCCATATTTAGTCACCGTTTTCATCCATGGTGATTAGTCCGACAAGCCCACAGATATTGAAAAGAAAGCAGCTTCGGTGCTTCCTGGACCACACAGAACGGCAGGACGGATAGATGAAGCCCACTCACCCAGTCCAAATCCTTGCCCTCCAGCTCGGGAGGAGTCATGATCTCTGGGACCCTGTCGAGTAACCTGAAGATCCTCCCAGCCGAGATCTTGGCAGTGTTGAAGTTGGGGGCGAACGCGAGCGCCTGTCCCAGCATCCAGGACCCGAAGATGAGAGCTTCGGACACCTTGATGACGTTCTGGTAGCTGAGGCCCTCCCTGGCGACCAGGTACCCGCCGTAGTAGAGACTAAGTGCGTACCCGAAGTACGGAGTGGTCTGTCCGCAGGAGAAGACGAGTCCCCTGAGCCTGTTCCTGATCCTGGTGGCCCTGGCGACGTACCCCAGCTCCACGCAATACCTATTCAGGAAGGCTTCCTCTTTCCCCAGGCTAGCCACGGTCCTGATGTTGCCGATGGCCTCGATGGCGATCCTGGTCGCGCCCTCCATCTTCTTCTTCTCCTGAAGACCCTGCCCACTCATGATCCTTGCCTCGAAGAAGACGGCACCCAGCACCAAGGGGATGGACACGACGGAGACCAGCGTCATCTTCCAGGTGTAGTACATGGACAGACCGATCCCCAGCACCAAGGTAGAGAGAGCTTGAAGAATGGCGCCTATCCTGCTGCCGGTTGCTCCCTGGACCGCTGCAGCATCCGAAGACAGTCTCGCACAGAGAGCTCCCACGCTGTTCTGGTCGTCGTCGTACCAGCCCATCTCTTGCTTCAGCATCGCCGCGAACGTCGTGCTCCTGAGCCTCGTGGTCATCCGCACACCTGCCAGCCCGAACATGTACATCTGCAGGAAAGTGCCCAGCCCCGTCACCACTCCCACGATGATGAAGAGCACCGAGAAATTCACCGTCTCGGCTCGCACCTCGTCCGCGTCCTGGATACCCAGCACGTAGTAAACCTCCCCGAAGAGCACCGCGAAGGCCGGGAAGGATGCACCCACCACGGCTGCTGCAAGACACCCTGGAGAGGAGGAATAACGCGTTAGTTTTCCGCCCGAAGAGGTACCAGGAAGATATAAACCGGAAATTCAGAACGAATCTCCAGGTGTGGGGCTAGTGGAGTCGCGAATGCTGAAGAGCACCCGGAAGAGTGCAGGTTTTTCAGTTTCTGGCGGACAGGACTCCTTTCAAGGTGTTCTTCAGCAATGTTAGGATGTGTATGGACGAGTTAGGAGGTCAATTATGTGGTATGGGGTTAAGAGGAATTAAATTTATGATCGTTGCACCTGAAGAGGGGGATTTCTTCAGGGTGGGGAGGGAATAGGAGGTATAGGATCTTTGGGGAATTATGGATGAGCTGGAAGCATCTTCAAGATCACGCTCAGGAGAAGGTGTGGGAGTTCTTCGGCGTCCGATTTACCGATGAGGTTGAAGATCCATTCCGGCTTGTTCAGGCCGAATATCCTCATCATGGGCGCGTCGTAGGGCTTTTCATGTTCCTCGAGAGCTTCTTCGGAGGCCTCCGAACCTCCAGCCAGAGAAAGCCGATGGGAGTGCATGGACAAGGTGGAGAATTGCTTCTTCAAGGGTGGCTTGACTTTCGGCTTGGTGGCCGTAACAGTTTTCGCTGCTGATGCGGTCGCCTTGGCTGGAACCCAACAATTAACGTTAAACATCTATTATCACAATTAATAATATCTATAAGGACGCAATGAATAAATATCCTGGGAATGGTGAATTTGTCGGCCGTCAGACATTTGAGAAACATCAAACCGATGGAAAATTCCAACCGAGAATCCCTAGTTTCAATTTTTCGTTTCAACGAGATTATACGCCATAGAATTGGAAAATTACTAAAACCATTGACAAATCCACAATCAGTGACTTAAATAAATAATTAGTCATTAATATCAGTATTAATATGGAATTTCATGATATTAATTGTTAACAATTAATATCATTGTCAAGGGGGATGTTTCGTTCAATTTTTCGTTTCAACGAGATTATACGCCATAGAATTGGAAAATTACTAAAACCATTGACAAATCCACAATCAGTGACTTAAATGAATAATTAGTAATTAATGTCAGTACTAATATGGAATTTCATGAAATTAATTGTTAACAATTAATATCATTGTCAAGGGGGATGTTTCGTTCAATTTTTCGTTTCAACGATATTATACGCCATAGAATTCGAAAATCACTAAAACCATTGACAAATCCACCATCAGGGACTTAAATGAATAATTAGTAATTAATGTCAGTATTAATATGGAATTTCATGAAATTAATTGTTAACAATTAATATCATTGTCAAGGGGGATGTTTCGTTCAATTTTTCGTTTCAACGATATTATACGCCATAGAATTCGAAAATCACTAAAACCATTGACAAATCCACCATCAGGGACTTAAATGAATAATTAGTAATTAATATCAGTATTAATATGGAATTTCATGAAATTAATAATTAACAATTAATATCATTGTCAAGGGGGATGTTTCGTTTCAACGAGATTATACGCCATAGAATTCGAAAATTACTAAAACCATTCACAAATTCACCATCAGTGACTTAAATGAATAATTAATAATTAATGTCAGTATTAATATGGAATTTCATGAAATTAATTGTTAACGATTAATATCATTGTCAAGGGGGATGTTTCGTTTCAACGAGATTATACGCCATAGAATTCGAAAATTACTAAAACCATTGACAAATCCACAATCAGTGACTTAAATGAATAATTAGTAATTAATGTCAGTATTAATATGGAATTTCATGAAATTAATTGTTAACGATTAATATCATTGTCAAGGGGGATGTTTCCCAGGGAAGTTGAGGTATCCGGGAATCTCGCAATCCACCTTTTGCAGCCGCATTCGAGTCCGCAGCGACCAATCCGTGGTAATGCTTCCCCAACGCCAGGAGCTCCTCGTGCGTGCCCATCTCCGCGACTTGTCCGTCCTTGATGAAGACTATTCTGTCCGCATTAGTGATAGTCGAGAGCCTGTGGGTAACGACGACAGTCGTCCTGCCTTTAGCCGCGACATCCAGCGCCCTCTGGACCGTGGCTTCGCTGTGCAAATCGAGAGCTGATGTCGCCTCGTCGAGCAACAAGATCGCTGGTCTGCGCACCAAAGCTCGAGCGATCGCGATCCTTTGTTTCTGTCCTCCCGAGAGCTGGGATCCTCTCTCCCCGACTGGACTGTCGTATCCCTGGAACGAAGCGATACATTGTTTCGAGATGCCGTATCATCGATGGAGCTTTAAGGTGAAGTGAAACCCCCTTCAAATCAGTCGATTCGAATACAACACTTTTTTTTAAGGGTAGAAGACCAAACTGTCCGAAACTATAAATGTTATACTTCAGTATTTGGCGCGAAACTCTACCGAGTGTTCTGATAACGTCAAAATACGGAATACCAAATATATCAGGTAACCAAACAATTTTCATTTTATTATTTGGCGCGAAACTCTGATGAGTTTCTTGACAACTTTGAGTTGCCTAATATTTCTCGATTTTTTTTTACCACCAGTAGAGTTCCGCGCCAAGTACTGATATATGACATCGACATTTCTAAATAAAACGAGGATTTACGGAGGCAGCGTCAACAGGAAGCGCGATCACACGAAATTCCACATTACGTTATGTCCTTATTCGACCGATTGGCTGATAAGACGCTCGATCGAGCACTGATTACACGTATGCGTTGGATCGGACGATCAAACATTCCATTAATCTGTCGGCAGACAAATAAACACACGACAATTGGCTGTTTAGAGACAACAACCGGATGTGCAAATACGTAATGCAGCGACAATGAACAGTTAATGAAAGCCTAACCTAACTTTGTCCTCGTTTCAGATGAACGTTTCATCTCTGAGCGATGATTCCTTCTAACTTAAAACCTAACCTAACTTTATCCCTATATAATTTCTAAACATTCCAGACACGCAATACGGAGTACGAAAATGTGAATATAAATTTATCCTCGAGGAATTTTATGCAATCTCTTCATCCCCCCGAAGTCAGAGGTCGCCATTTCGGTTTACCGTTTCGCGCGTTTCGACTTTCAGGCGTGCTCGGTATGCAAACTCGGAAAGTAATTATACCCCCAGCGGAGTGAGGTTAGAATTCGCCAAAGCCTCGGGGAGCAGTTTCGGAGAAATTCGGAATCCCTTCGAGCAGCCGCGAAGACCGGAGTCGCGGTCCAATGTTTCGCGGCGGCGCCGCTGCAGGGCGCTGCGTCGCGCGGGAAATTCAAACTCGATGAGACGCGAGGATGGAATCCTCGGCAATTAAGCCCCGCCAAGTTTGTTTTCCAATTACCCGGGAAAATTTACACATAACGTAAATCTCCCCCGTTGTGAATTAGCGGCTAACTCGATTAGCCATAATTACACCGACACACCACAAATTGTTTGATTCGAGATCAAGGGATATGGACTCCGTCCGAAACCACGCCGCTCGATACTCACTTCCGGCAGCTTGCTGATGAAGTCGTGGGCGTTTGCTTCCTTCGCTGCTTTGATCATCTCTTCCTCGGTAACGTTCTCATTTCCGTAGCGGATATTCTCGCGGATTGTCGTGTCAAAGAGGACTGGTTCCTGGCCGACCAAACCGATGTACGAGCGAAACCAGGACACGTTCAGCTTGGCGATGTCGACGCCGTCGAGCAGAACCTGGGACATAGAAACCAAGACTCTTCATTTTGATCAATTAATAAAGGAATTAAATTTGAAAATGTAAAATCATTCGAGTATATATCTTTTAGGTGGACAATATGGCGGATGCCCTTAAACTGTAAGTGCCTCTTTTAATTTCGTTAATTTAATATCGAGCATTATTTCCTTCCAAGGATAATTTCTTTCCGACGGCGAAGATTCTTCAAAATTTCACTGTCTGCAGGTAAATTCATAAATCTAGATTTTTATTACATTTCTTTTATATTGATATATATTTCTTTCAGGTGGACAATATGGCGGCTGCACTTGAACTCCATGGGCCTTTAAGCAGTTACTATTTATTCGACCATCCAGAATAATAACCCTAATAATTAATTTCATTAAAATGTATGGCGAACAATTTTCCCGAGTTTTATTCAAGGATGCCAGGTGATCTAATGTACGAAGACGTGCCTCACCTGTCCCTGAAGAGGGTCGTAGAGTCGCTGGATGAGCTGAAGACAGGTGGACTTTCCACATCCTGATCCTCCGACCAAGGCCACGGTTTCGCCATGTTTGATCTTAAGGTTAAGCCCCTGCAGGACCTTGACGTCCTTCCTGGCAGGGTACTTGAAGTGAACGTCCTTAAACTCAATCTCCCCGTTGACCTTCTCTAACTTCATGCCCTCCTTGCTGAGACTATCAATTGTAGGTACTCGGTCAAGTACTTGGAAAATGGCGGCTGCAGAACCTCTAGCAACGGCGAAAGCTTCCATATGAGGAGAAGTAAGTCCCATATTTTGGGCCCCAGCAAGAACTCCGAAGAAGACTATAACCAGGACTGCCGGGGTGTACTCCTTAATCTCCTTGGGCCGATCATCCAGGATCAGCTGGACGCCGTACCTTGAAGAAGACACATAAAAAATATCTCATTAAACAACCCCGCAGAAGAGAGAAAGAAAAAAATTCCTCCATTGAACAAAACCGCTTAAGGTGAAGTGAAGCACGTCGAGGAACTTGATCAACGTCGATAAAGAATATTTTTCTAAATGCCTACGTTGCCGATGTTCGTTTTTATATTGACAGCTGGGTCCAATTATATTGTGTATTGTACCAAATGGCATATTCCACCTGTCGTTTTCGTACAATAATTATAAAGAAATCGAAGTAAAACTCCAGAAATCCTCTGGATTCGTGCCTTCTGGGGCCCTAATTGACTGCGGAGGGACCCCCTGCGCCATCTGTGATTTCCACGTCAATTAAATTTTCACTCCGAGACCTCGTATTACCATCGTTTTAGCAAAGAAGCGCATACAACACTTTTTTTGCCTTTATCCCGTTCAAATGCGAGTTTATCGATTACCAGAGTGTTCTAAATTCTCGTAAAATTGTCCTGACCCTTTCGATTCTCATATCAGAGCCTTCGATAATTGTATATTGATCGAAATATGAGAGCTCGACGCCATTTTGGTTCTGGTCTGGAATGAGTTAAAAAATTTTTTTTGAAAAATCCAAATTTTCAATGTGTCAGGACAATTCTTAGATGATCAGGAGGGATGTGTCAAAGTTTCGGACAGTTTGGTCTAATACCCTTAAAAAGAAGTGTTGTATTTGTTGTTATGTTTCACTTCACCTTAATTGACTGCATTTCCTTCTTTCAGATAAAGGGGAAAAAAATGTTATAATAAATGTATGCCAATTCACTGTTAGGACATGAAGTTTATAATTTTACTGCAACCTTATGTACTAAAAGTATGGATTTTAGGAATTTCTTCAACTATGTACCAGAAGGCCAGGGCGTAGCTGAGGTAGATGATGAACCACATGACGCCTCCACCAACACCAGACCACATCCCTCGTTTGATTCCCGTGGTCTCAGCTGGTACCAGCTTCTCGGCATATCTGTCTACTTCCTTCTTCTCTCCACCAAAGGCCACGACTGTCCTTATGGCACCTAGAACCTCTTCGGCAACTGTTCCAGCCTGGCCATAGGCCGCCAATTCCAAAGCCGTCAAGGAGCTCTGCACCTTTGCGACAATTGCAGTGGCGATTACGATGATGGGTGCACAACTCAGGACCACCAAGGTCAGTTTCCATCCGTAAACGAAGGAGATGATTATGGAGGACACGAAGGAGACCAGAAGGTACGTGAAGATGCCCAGCTTCTCGCCGATGCCGTCCTTCATCTTGTCCAGGTCCCTGGAAAAGGGAATGACAATGGTAATAATAACCGAATAGAATTTCAACCTACTTTGGAATAAAAAAATTTGTAATTTCCCCCCCGGGATTTTACAAAATTATAACATAATGTTATAAAGTTGTAAATTCATTCAGAGGTTTGCAAGAAATGTTGGGAAGGTTCAAGAATTAATTAGTGATGCATCCTTGGCGTTGATGATCATTTTTTGCCAACCTCCAGCAGGTCAAATCGGGCGTGCAATTATTTCTAATGGTAATTCTCTGCAAAATGAATTTGTTTGCGAATATATGTAATGTAATACAGGTGTACGTATATATGGAGTATATGTTTTCAGGGTGGAGGAAAGGGGCTAATTGCTCGTCCCGGAAACCACCTCGTCAACGGCTCCGTTGTTGCTATGTAAATTAACTCACTACCGCGACTGCAGACCAAACAGCGGATAAAAAGTTTCCCGACCAAGTCGGCTCCTGCGAGATCATTTCCGGCGAGGTGGAATAACGAAGTCAAACTTGATTTACGAGCCCGAGGAAACTATCTCGCTTTCTGCACTTTCCTCCCAGGCATTAAGAAACATGGCGCGCCCTTAAACTTTTCATCCAACAATGTATCCAGCATCGTATCCAGAGGAAGAAGAGGAACAACGAAGACGTGCAATAATTTCAGGCCATTTTCTCATTTACTGCTACTAACGTCACTTTCACTTGTTTTAAATAATTATCGCGCTAATACACGCGAAACTTGTTCATTTCAGTGTGAGAGAACAAGATGGAGGTGATCTGCCAGTTCCCAGATTTTAGATGAGTCGCCGAAATATTTTTTATAAATTGTATACAATGTCTCATGATCTAGCTAATGTATATTATATCCTATTTGTAGAAGCAAGGATTCAGGATGTCGGAAAATCGAAGAGGATGGATCCTTTCTGGTGCTTCGTGAAGGACTATTCTTCAGGGGGGAAGTCGTTTCAGATGCTGGGGTGCTGAAGTGCTGAGATGCTTGGATGCAGAGATGCTGAGATGCGGAGATGCTGGATCAGATCTCGGTTCTGCAGAACCACGTCCCGCCATCCACCTGTTGCGCCACCCACCACCCACCACCCACCGCGACCCGCGAGCTTACTTCACTCTGAAACGCTTCGACGCACCCCAATCTCGACTCAGAAGGGTGCGACTCGGTCCCACCCCCCTGGTTCTTGATGAACAAGATGCAGAAGAGGTGACAAGAGGAGAAAAATTCTCTGCACGCATTAAATGTACGGATGATATTTTTGGAACACTCGAAAAAAAAAAACTCATTAATTTCCTAGAAAGTAAAAACTCCGAAGAAAACAATTACAGATACATGAAATTTTACGAAGGCTTAACGAAGTACTAAGTAGGTTAATAAATTAAACGATTAACGAATAAAAAAAGAGTCAAGGGTGGGGCGGCCATCTTGTGCTTAAATCTACGAGTGGTTTGCACTCCAAGTTGAATTTCTTTTATAAATTATTACAATCGCATGATTTGTAAAACGTTGAATTTGAAGCGAGGAACCTGCCATACTCTTCGTAGAGTAATGCTATGCATGTACGCGAGGGGTTCTTTTTTATTATTTAGTAGATATCATTTATGATATATTTTATCAGGAACGGGGAAGAAGAGTAATTACTCACTCCGTAATTCTGCTGGCAAAGTTCGTCGAGGTGTTCGTGTCGTACCAAGCCATGTCCTGTCTGAGCACCGCCTGGAGGAACATCCTCCGCACCCTGGCGATCTGCCTGAAGGCCGCGATATTAAGGAGGTCCACCGTGAAGATGGCGAAGAAGAACTGCAGGGTGGAAAGGGCGGCGCAGGATACTCCGAAGGCGACCGAGTCGTCGTAAAGGGCGTCCATGCGCTCCTCGTAGGTGCTGTTGGGACCCCTGAAGAGACCAACAAAACGATTCATCTTCACCCCTTCCCATAACAATACCATTACACTCCTCCTCGCAGAAAATAGAATAAAATTAAGAATTTTAGAAAAATTGAATTTTAAAAATCAGATGCATTGGTATTATTGGTACCCCTGAAGAGACCAACAAAACGCTTCATCTCACCCCTTCCCCTCACAATACCATTCCACTTAACCTCGCAAAAAAACAGAATAAAATTAAGAATTTTAAACAAAAACTGAATTTTAAAAATCAGGTTCATTGATATTATTGGGACCCCTGAAGAGACCAACAAAACGCTTCATCTTAATCCCTTCCCATAACAATACCATTCCACTTCACCTCGCAAAAAACAGAATAAAATTAAGAATTTTAAACAAAAACTGAATTTTAAAAATCAGGTTCATTGATATTATTGGTACCCCTGAAGAGACCAACAAAACGCTTCATCTTCACCCCTTCCCATAACAATACCATACCACTCCACCTCGCAAAAAATAGAATAAAATTAAGAATTTTAGAAAAATTGAATTTTAAAAATCAGGTCCATTTGTATTATTGGTACCCCTGAAGAGACCAACAAAACGCTTCATCTTCACCCCTTCCCATAACAATACCATTACACTCCACCTCGCAAAAAATTCCATAAAATTAGGAACTAAAGAAAAGCAATGCTACAAAAATCAGAATGAGCCAAAATGTTCCAACAAATTAAAAAATGTTCACGTTTATTTACGCAGATTGTTTAAATGTTAAAGTGTTTAGCGAGACATTTAAAAGTCCTTCGGTCTGTTTCTTTCGGTTAACATATTTTTAAGAAATCCACAGATTTATCGCGAAGCATCCCCGTGCAGAACCGCAGCCGGATCATAATTTCCTTGGAAAATGGGAGCAGTCGAATCGTTCGATCACGAAGAGCACTTATTCTCGAGGGCCGTCGAAAGGAAAGGACAAAAAAGCCGGCCCAGAAATGTCTCGAGTTATTCCGGCCTTGAAGAGGAGAGAGAACTCGAGCGTTAGCTCGCGAATCTCGGAATTAGGAATTAAATCCCCAAGATTCGGGAAATCCCCCTGACAATGGCAGTTTTCCCTCGCAAGACATCTCGCAATTTTCCACGATAATACGTACTGCCCGGGTAAATAAAAAGGAGCCTTTTGTGCATGTAAATGTACTTTCCTCCTCGGGCATTGATTCTCTGGGAACGACAGCTGAAAGGACATTGCTGAAAAGCTCCTGATGAAAGCGACTCCTGAAAAGCTCCCACAATGGAATGGAAGGCATAAATTTAAACTGGCCGGCCAAGAGCTGTACTCCCGATAATATTCCTACCTTCTAATGGACCGAAAGTGGAGAGGAATTTTTTAAGAACACTCTTTTTCGCCCCCTCCTCGCGACAAATGGAATCGAAATTCTCGGTGATCAAAATTATTCATTACGATTAACCCCCGGAACGCGTTTAACGCATCTCCCAAAGAATTTCTCAACTTACCCTAATTTGTGAAAAATTCCTTATATATCGTATTTTTAATAATAGCGTTTATTCATTTCTGCAGAAAATGCGAATCGCGACCCTAAGAGATATCCTTGGTCCAGGGAAATTTTTTTTTTTTAACGGCGGAGGGAAAAATTGTATCGTAGGGGTGTTTGTTTATTGTCAATGAAATTTCGAATATCGAAAGAACCGAAGAGATATCCTTGGTCCAGGAAAATTTTTTTTTTTAACGATGGAGAGAAAAATTGTATCGTAAGGGTGTTTGTTTATTGTCAATGAAATTTCGAATATCGGAAGAACCGAAAAGATATCCTTGGTCCAGGGAAATTTTTTTTTTTTAACGGCGGAGGGAAAAATTGTATCGTAAGGGTGTTTGTTTATTGTCAATGAAATTTCGAATGTCGAAAGAACCGAAGAGATACCCTTGGTCCAGGGAAATTTTTTTTTTTAACGGTGGAGGGAAAAATTGTATCGTAAGGGTGTTTGTTTATTGTCATTGAAATTTCGAATATCGAAAGAACCGAAGAGATATCCTTGGTCCAGGGAAATTTTTATTTTTAACGGCGGAGGGAAAAATTGTATCGTAAGGGTGTTTGTTTATTGTCAATGAAATTTATTTACTCACAAGACTTTGCCTCCTCCAAACCACTCCATGATGAGAGTCGGAGTGCTCGTCTCGTTTTCCAAATTTCGGTCGACCAGCAAGGTGGTGAATTCACCATACTGTATGGTGGAAATTGGAATACAAAGGCCTGTTAAGGAACCCATTATCAGGCCTCCCATGACCAGCATCAGCTCCCCGAAAGTCGCGAATCGGAACTAAAATAAAATCCACATTAAATTCCCAAAATACAATATTCGCCTCTTCTACTACTTAGAGCAATATTTAGTAAGTTAATTAACTTACGAGCTTGTAATAAGGCACCGGCGGTAATTGTGGTGTCTGTGGGGGTGGTTTTTCCTCCTCCTTAGTCTGAGGCGGCACGAATTCACTGAGGACAGAATTAAAGGAAATTTTCATTAACAATTAGTTCAACGAGCTTAACACACTATACATTTGCACCAGATCAGGAGATACTAAACCTCAAGTTTTAAAAAACCATAAAAATTCGAGAGAGTACTTCCAGCGATGGGTAAATTTAATAAGTTAGAAATTAAACGTAGAATTGTTTAAATTTTCGATATTGAAAGTACTCTCTCGTGTAAATAAATAAACCCCTAGAAATCGGTCCCATGTGAGCTTTAGTCATCTCGTCCTTGATTCGATATTCCTTGGTCTTTTTTTTTTTTTGTAGGAAAATTCTGATAGCTCCTTCGGCATTTGTTTTTTTATATATTGCAACTCCTTGCAAAATCACTGTAATAAACGTATTCGTACATGGGTTCACCATTTTCTTCGATCATGTACTCAGTCTCTTGTTTATCCTTCTCCGTGTCTCGCAGTGTGTCTGCAAACGAAATACAACATGCCGTACTAACACTTCTGTACTTACTTCATTTTACCCCCTCATTGTACTTGGTACATTACAATATTTTTAAATAAAACCAGCATAGCGACTCCGGTAATGTCATCATTTAGTCGACTCTCATTACAAAGAATAATATTAACACCGATAATTAGAGGCGTTGCATTTCGGTTAAAACCCTAGTAGCACAGAATAATTTATAAATATTTGTTTGTAATCTTTGCCATTCTATTTATTGATAATCTCAATGACATATTTAGTTTTAATAATTCAGAAACATATATAGAAATTATATATTTTCATTTATTAACATGATAAAAATACATTTCTTACTTCACAATTATTACCGTGACACTTCATTTGGTATTAAAAAATACGACAAATTTTTGTAATATTTTTTTTTCCGCTATTTCATTATGGGAGCAAAATGTGTGATTTTGATTTTACATATTTTTAAAACATGTATAATGTATTCGGCAGATAATATTGAAAAAATACTTATATTAAAATTAAAGGAAATGTTTTGTATATCTGTTAGAAGAATATTATGAAAACACGTGGAGGTAACATTATACAAATATTTCAAATGTACGATATTCGTTAAATATATAGAAAATAAATGAATTTGAAAGCCGCCAAAGAGGGTGAGAAATAATTTCGGGGGATGAAATTCGATCCACCAGACTGCATAATTGATTAAATAAAGATAAATTAGATAAACCCCTCAGACCTAATAATTCATTATATAAATTAATTTCCCGGCCCCCGAAAAATCCGGAAAGAGCAAACATCCCGAAAAAAGGGGGAAAACATCCCTCGGGAACTTTTCCGATGAATTTCTCACCCCCTAATGGTTCGTAAATCGTCGCCCCGGCGATCAGGACCCGATACGAAGGATACCAGGAGAAGAAGGACCTTTTAGATACCCCTCAGGACGCCGGGGAAGGATCCTCAGCATCCCTAAGAAATGGACCGCGTATTCATCCCCCCCGAAATTCGTTCCCCGTCGACGGAACATCCCCTTCGGATGTCGACTAAGGTTCCCGAAGGAGCTCCATTAGCGACGTAATTGCTGTTCCAAACTTCCCCGACGAATCTACGATCAGCAAACCGTACACCCTTCGAACATCCCCCGAAAGGGGTGCGTCGCAGTTTGTCCCCGTAATTCGTTTCCTAGAACAAAGCCAAGTACGGGAAGATTCGAGCTTTATACCCCAGATTCCACCAGGAAGACAGTCTGACAAATAGGGGAATTTCCACCCCTCCTATTACGACCCCTTTACCCCCATTTTCCCCGAGACTTATATAAAGATTCGGAAAAAAACAAAATAATTTCAAATAAATATCTCACTGTAAAGTTGAGATTATACATTACACAGAACTATAAATTGAAGAAGGGGTTGAAGGTCCCAGAAAATTAGGGAGGGATTTTTAGGGGATTTTTTTAGGGTTTCCTATGGAAACTTTCAAGCGCTTCCATCTACTCCAATATGCAGACGGAAAAGGGAAATGGATAAAAATTAAATATTTAGTAAAAAAAAAATAACTAATTGTTCATCGTGGGGAAGGGTAAGTGCAACTCTCTTAATAATCCAGGAAATTTCGAGTTTCCATCAACCCCTGATGGAGGGTTGCTTTTTATCTCGCTTTATTGCAGCCGCTCGTGAAGTAACACGAGGATTTTGTTTTCAATTAAATTTTAATTGACCGCTGTTTAACATAACCGGAAATGCAAAGCCTCCGTTAATTACCGACAAGTACGGGAAACGTTTAATAAAATTTCCAGCGTCCTTCCTATAGTTTAACAATATAAATCCATGGCGTGGATAATCCCGCATAAAAATAACTAAAAAACAAATGAATTGAATTATTTACGGCCAACAGAAATTTATTCCCAATCCCTTATCGCTTCGCAACATTTCCCGAAGAAAAATCCTGCGGAACGAAAGTTAATTGCAAAGTAATATTTACGATCGAGTTACGTCAAAATTGTGCAAACTAGGGCGAAACCGAAATAAATGTTGCACCGGTTACCCCGAGGACAATAAATGCAATTTGTTATCATCGGCTGAGCCCAAATAGATGACTAGGAAAAATCATTAATCAAACTTATCGATCCACTGATCTATCGATACATTATCTACGAGGATCAGTCGCCGAGAAGTTGCGCGAAAAAAATCGGGAAAAAAATCGAAAAAAATTAGAAAAAATCGGAAAATCGATTTTTTCTTACTATAAAGTAAAAACGTCAGTGAAAAGGGTACTTACACCTCGAGAGGATTTTTCCCTGGTGGTGTGAGTTTGACTTTGGGGCTTCCATTTGTATACTTTGAGGAGCCTCTTGTGGGCTCGAGGACCACTGATAGATTCGCCGCGTCATCTTGCATTCTCAGTTAACAACGCTGCAACAACAAAAACAATGCCAAGCAACAATAAACATCGTGTCGCATAAAGTCCTGACAATCAAGGGGACAAATTTTGTAAATATAAAAATCCAGGCAGATAAACCCTATATAGTATGAATATTGTAGGAGAAAATCATGAAAATCGGGGGGGGGGAGATTTTTTAATTAAAAAATTTACCGAAATAAAAATGAAAGAGGGAGAGAAGGGTAACGGATTTAGGTGGCATTCCCCTCCTCGAGGGTGGAATTAAGCTCTTTGTGGGGTGCAAATAACGTATCAAGTTCGTATTATTGAAAGAGGAGACGCCTTCGTCCCTAGGGCCTCCAGAATCGAGCTTTCCACCCTGAAGAGGGGTGGAAACTCTGAAGAGGGGTGGAAAGCTCGATTACTCGGCTTTCGACGCCCTTCGAGGGCGGCTGAAAGCTCCCGAACAAGACTTCGTTAGGTCTCAAAAATGATCGGTGAACGAGTTCTCCTCAAGATCAAAGGGGTGTCCTTCGAGGCTGAAGAGCGCCCCGTGTAATCGGGAAAGAAAAAAAAAAAGAAATTTCACCGAGCGATTGGGGTCATCGAACATGTCCAGAGGATTCCCGTTTTCCTCCTCGAAGAGCACCCTGAAGTCTATATTTCAATTGGAATTAAATTGGAATTAAATTGCAATTAAATTATCTTGCGGACAACAATGAAGTCGTTTGACCAGAACGAGGAAAAAATGATCCATCGAGCCTAGGGAATATTTTCTTAATTCCTTGAATTAACAAAATAAATTATCGGGATTAGCAGCAAATGTTTTAACACGAGATCAAACTTTTGCGTACTCTTAATGATCTTCGAGGTTGTCTTCGCGATCCTCGGTGCAAGAATCGACGCCGGGGTGGTAACCGAAGGCAATTTTCGAAGGTTTCCTCGGGGGGATCGGGGCTGCGGGGGGTCCGACACTTTTCCCAAGCCCGAAACTCCATTACGCTGTAAACTAACTTCCCTCGCCGTCCTAACTTGTTCTCCGTCCGAATAATCCTTGCGGTCTACTGACCGGCGCTGCACCTCTTCGGGAGGACCCACGCGTCCCTGATGCGCTTTGCCTCCGGGATTCCCCCTTGCTTAAATACCCTCAATTCCGGGGAACCAAGTCCTGAATTCTCAAAAGTACCTACAACGAAACCCTGGTACCGATTCACCCCGTGAAATTCGAGAAAAATTCAAAAATCCGAATTTTCAGACACGAATGTCAAAAATGAGCATTTTTAATAAATAATTACGATACCTTGGGAACCAAGTCCTGAATTCTCAAAAGTACCTACAACGAAACCCTTGTACCGATTCACCCCGTGAAATTCAAGAAAAATTAAAAAATCCGAATTTTCAGACACGAATGTCAAAAATGAGCATTTTCAATTAATAATTACGATTCCTTGGAAACCAAGTCCTGAATTCTCAAAAGTACCTACAACGAAACCCTAGTACCGATTCACCCCGTGAAATTCAAGAAAAATTAAAAAATCCGAATTTTCAGACACGAATGTCGAAAATATCCTTCATTTTCAATTGGAAATTGCCAAAATTTCATTTATGGAAAAATATTCTTTATTATCAGCCTGAAACTGAAATTTCATTGAAAAAATATCCTTAATTACCAGCCTCGAATCGTCCCGATTAAACATGAACTTCAGGAAATTTCATGAAACTAAGAATGTCTTTCATTTTCAGTCTTCGACCATATCAATTGAGCCTGAAAAGCTCCGCGAAATTTCCCGAAAAAGTGTCCCTCATTTTCCCCGATCCCTTCGGACTGATAGTTTGCAAACATTCAAGGCCATATGATCCTTTTTTTATCGTGATATTCCTGAACCGCCATTTCGGGGAATTCGGTTCAGACCAACGGGGAGCAACCACGGTGACAATTTGGGTTTCGGGCATCCGGTCGAGCGAACGCGCAATTTGGAGCGCTCCATTATGGCGCGATCGGGAAAAATTTTGACGCCGGGACAAATCGATGCAGCCCATCAGTTTTATACCCGGTGTCAGTGAATTCACGGCTTTCGGAAACGCGTCCACTCTTCCGGATGCGTCGATTTCGAAACGCGACCATGAAGAACGGACGAGGGATTCGATTCGGCCCAGAAATGCCGGCGCCATTTTGGAGAACCAACAAAAGTGGGCTTTGAGGGATTTTTAAACAAAACGCCGATTAATCCCAGGTTGCTCCTGTTTTTTTTTTTTATTATTATTTTTCGAACCTGAAGAACCGAATTTTAGGGCGTGAGATTTTCCGAGCGCCCTGAAGAGGTCGGAAAGAGGAGGAAAAGATACTAGCTACCCAGGAAGGCGAAGAAATTCCCTAGGGATCGGCAGAAATCGTGACTCGACCTGGAGGAAGAACCGGCGAACTTCCAGTCCCTGAAGACACCCTCTTCGAGGTCGAGAGAGAGAGGGATAGAAATATACGGATAAAGGGACAGAATGAGAAAGAACTAGGATCAAGCTCTAAGCTTTGTTCCTGGTTCTATCTCCAGGCTCTTCAGGGCGTCGCGACGCCTCTTCGGAGTCGGCTTCCACGCTACTTCCTCTCTCCATTTTGTTGACATACCTTCACCCAAGCAAAAGGAATTATTTAACTATCAAATCCTACATAATTTACGATCAACCCAGTTATTTCTGTTTCTCGAAGGAAGAGGAGAGCGCATCCTTAGAGATTAATCCCGAGACGTGGAAGTGAGAAATGCAAAATGCAAATTTATGAAATGAAATTAGGAAAAAATTGCCGAATTTGCGGTTAAGGGTCAAAAATCATCCGAGGACGATTCCTTATTTTCTGTCGATCATCCCTGCTTATTTCTACAATTTCTTTAATTTTCTCGAAGGAAGAGGAGAGCGCATCCTTAGAGATTAATCCCGAGACGTGGAAGTGAGAAATGCAAAATGCAAATTCATGAAATGACATTAGAAAAAAATTGCCGAATTTGCGGTTAAGGGTTAAAAATCACCCGAGGACGCTTCTTCATTTTCTGTCGATCATCCCTGCTTATTTCTACAATTTCTTTAATTTTCTCGAAGGAAGAGGAGAGCGCATCCTTAGAGATTAATTCCGAGACTTCGAAGTGGATCGGACGACAAGGGGGTGGAAAGACACCGAGGAAGAGGCAAGAAGGGGATGGATCCACCGGTGTTACTAAGCCAGGGGCTTACCAAGCTAAGTAGACGACTGATCCTCGTCTCGGATCTTGTTCGAGGATCCAGACTCCGATATCCACTCCTGTAGGCTCCAAACAAGAACCAAGAACCACCCCCTTCCTGGCCTAACTACCCTCGACCTCGCCAATCGGAAATCCGGTTACGCGACCTCGACGTTTAATGCACCCAAACCCTTAATCGAGGTTCTTGGGGGTAAAAATTGGTAAAAATCCACCCCTATCGATTCTCCGATATTCAATCAATTCGAAATCCAGATGGCGATTAAAAATGCCTACCCCTGCATTTTTTTCATAATTTTTACCGCGGCTTATTTTTCTCTCATTAGATTTATTTTTAGAAAAAAAAATTATGGCATTCATGTAATAATGGAAGCGTTATAGAATTGGGAATAAATGTTCAATAGAGGGGATCTATGTTATAGCTCGTTTAATTCTCACATAAACAAGGCAATTATCTAATCCTACGAGCATGAAAAAATAAATCGAGCCTCCACTCGAGGCCGCCATCTTGGAATCGCCGTCTGACTCTTGACTTCCGCAAAAACCGCGAAGAACGAGAAACGAGGCGATAATGGAATCGCCAAAGGCCATCTCTGCCCCTGATCGGCTTCGATAACGTCATAATCGATTACCCTGGAGATATTTCGGAGCGATTCGAGAGGCCAATTGACAAGAAGCGATCGAATTCATTGACTGCGTACATCCGCGCCCGAAATGGACGCTGAAGATAACCAGAAGCGTTTCCCACCCCCTTACCAGATAAATCAAAAATACACCCGGAGTGGTTAATTAAAATTGAAGGATTAATTATAATATTACTTAGAAAAATATCTTAACCCTTCTTATATAGCTTTAAAGTCATATACTTCCTATATCGATATTTTCTAAGGCTTAATTAAATCTTCTCGCAGAATTTAATATCCCACCTTAGTATCGCCATTTTATGTCTCGTAGAAGGAAGTTGTTTGCGAATTATAAATTAAGTGGAAATTAAATCCAGCTTTCTCCCTCTGAAGTTCACTTCCGGGGGTTAATTCGACGCCGTTTTGTGCGAGGTTGGAGCTTTCCGAAGCGAGGCGCAAAATCTCGAAAACAGCCGAGCCTTGTCGAGCTTTCGAAGTCCGCTTACGAAGTTTGAAGTGCGTTTGCGCTTCTCCGGATTCCTCCGCTTTTTCCCGTTCCCGAGGGAGACGCGACCCCAAGTTCGGGGTCGGCGAGGAAAGGGAATCTTTAAGGTGAAGTGAAACACGTCGAGGAACTTGATCGACGTCGATAAAGAAAATTTTTCTAAATGCCTACGTTGCCGACATTGGTTTTTATATTGACAGCTGGGTCGAATTATATTGTGTATTGTACCAAATGGCATATTCCACCTGTCGTTTTCGTACAATAATTATAAAGAAATCGAAGTAAAACTCCAGAAATCCTCTGGATTCGTGCCTTCTGGGGCCCTAATTGACTGCGGAGGGACCCCCTGCGCCATCTGTGATTTCCAGGTCAATTAAATTTTCACTCCGAGACCTCGTATTCCCATCGTTTTAGCAAAGAAGCGCATACAACACTTTTTTTGCCTTTATCCCGTTAAAATGCGAGTTTATCGACTACCAGAGTGTTCTAAATTGTCGTAAAATTGTCCTGACCCTTTCGATTCTCATATCAGAGCCTTCGATAATTGTATATTGATCGAAATATCAGAGCTCGACGCCATTTTGGTTCTGGTCTGGAATGAGTTAAACAATTTTTTTGAAAAATCCAAATTTTCAATGTATCAGGACAATTCTTAGATGATCAGGAGTGATGTGTCAAAGTTTCGGACAGTTTGGTCTAATACCCTTAAAAAAAAGTGTTGTATTCGAATCGACTGATTTGAAGGATGTTTCACTTCACCTTAAGTGAAGAGATTCGTCAAAGTGCGGATAGACAAACCCCTACATCGAAAATTGCAAGAAAAAGAAAAAAAAAAGAGGAAAAGGAATACATCAAATATCAACAAATAAGAAATATCCTTCAAGATCGACGAACATTTTTTTTTTTCTTCATATTTCCAGAATTTGCAATTTTTCCCCTTATTGCGAAAAAACTGAAAAAAAAAGAGGAGGAAAATTCATACGCGAAATTTGACGAAAAAAAAAATGAAGAGAGAAATATTTCAACAGAGAGATTAACAATTGAGGATATAATTTAAAAAGTCGTTAAAGGAAATTAACAAATTAAATCCTCTTCTCGAGGGAGTTCGACGTCGCCGATAAGCCGCGGACTATTTTCACGGAAAATTCCCGGAGTTTATCGAAAGCCAGGAAATGGAGGGCACTAGAAATTGTTCCGGGGCCATTCAGAATCTCGAGCTGCAACCTTTGAGTGTCTTCGACATTCGTTGATAGCTGATAGTACGCGGGGGGCCGCGATACGTCTTATCACTGCGGTGGAAATCCACATGCGCGTTATCACCGCTCGGTGTACGCATCATCCCCGGATCCCTCGAGGAAAATAAGAAGCTCTCCACTTCGTCAAATCTCGATCAATTCGACACTAGAGATTACAAAAGGGATATAACAAAGAACATAAAAAAAGAGTGAAATATAGTTATCGGAATCTCATGAATAAGCGATAAGTTACGTCTCCTGTGCATCGCACTTGTATTTTGTCCCGGAAAAAAATATATCGATTCTAATCGAGACTTCCTGTCGAGGAGGAAAATCTCGAGGTGGTAAAATCTTCGATTAGGATTTCGAATTAATTACCGCCGGTCAGAAAATGATTACCCATTAATAAAAACGTCACGGGGACTGCTGCGTTATCTCCTGATAATTTCCTCGTTGACAGTCGAGGATTTATTTTAAATTCCAGTTAGAGGGAACTAATCATACCCGATGGAATATTCAGATTAGGATATTCTCGATTGATAGAGGGAGACCGATTTTCCAATTTTCTAATTATTAAGGCGACATTTTAGCTTGTGGGATTCCCGGCGGGGATTTCGAGACACGTGTAGATTAGTGACAAGAGGACGCCACGTCGTTCTAGATTAAAAATGAGAGAAAAGAATACGATCCGACGTCCTGAGTCGATGGGCTATCGATTGGATATCAAGCCGATATCGCGCGTTATCAGTTCTTCCCTCGACATCTCGCGATCGCGCGGCGCCCTCTGCAATATCGCCGAATCACCTCGCCGATCATAAATTTCATTGAATGGGTAATTAAAAAAGGGAATAGAAAAATTAAATAGCCTCCAGAAAAGAATTGCCTAAAAATGTAATGAAAAATCGAAGCGGTATGTACTGGTTAAGGTGAAGTGAAACATCCTTCAAATCAGTCGATTCGAATACAACACTTTTTTTTAAGGGTATTACACCAAACTGTCCGAAACTTTGACACGTCACTCCTGATCATCTAAGAATTGTCCTGACACATTGAAAATTTGGATTTTTCCAAAAAATTTTTTAACTCATTCCAGACCAAAACCAAAATGGCGTCGAGCTTTCATAAATTTCGTTGAATGGGTAATTAAAAAAGGGAATAGAAAAATTAAATAGCCTCCAGAAAAGAATTGCCTAAAAATGTAATGAAAAATCGAAGCGGTATGTACTGGTTAAGGTGAAGTGAAACATCCTTCAAATCAGTCGATTCGAATACAACACTTTTTTTTAAGGGTATTACACCAAACTGTCCGAAACTTTGACACATCACTCCTGATCATCTAAGAATTGTCCTGACACATTGAAAATTTGGATTTTTCCAAAAAATTTTTTAACTCATTCCAGACCAGAACCAAAATGGCGTCGAGCTCTCATATTTCGATCAATATACAATTATCAAAGGCTCTGATATGTGAATCGAAAGGGTCAGGACAATTTTACGACAATTTAGAACACTCTGGTAGTCGATAAACTCGCATTTGAACGGGATAAAGGCAAAAAATGTGTTGTATGCGCTTCTTTGCTAAAACGATGGTAATACGAGGTCTCGGAGTGAAAATTGAATTGACCTGGAAATCACAGATGGCGCAGGGGGTCCCTCCGCAGTCAATTAGGGCCCCAGAAAGCACGAATCCAGAGGATTTCTGGAGTTTTACTTCGATTTCTTTATAATTATTGTACGAAAACGACAGGTGGAATATGCCATTTGGTACAATACACAATATAATTCGACCTAGCTGTCAATATAAAAACGAACGACGGCAACATAGGCATTTAGAAAAATCTTCTTTGTCGACGTTGATCAAGTTCCTCGACGTGTTTCACTTCACCTTAAACGAGCCGAGATAAATAAATCTCAGGATTTTCTTACGCGTGAATGAGTAAATCCTGGGAGTTTACTTCCGTAATCTGATAAAGAAAAACCGTGTTTTATGAAACGATTTCAAGGGATGGCCGTAACTTTGAGGCGCGATAAAGACGTCGAGGATGAGGCAAGACCTCTCGTACCTTCGGGCACTTATCGCACTTAATTCGAGAGAACTCGCCAGACGAGATAACTTAGTGCTGAAAGTCCCGGAGAAGAATCTTTCCCATAGCCCTGAGGGATGCTGCGAGGGATGCAAAACCTCCCTTAAAAGCTTCCTCTCGAAGCAAGTCCCGCGACTTGACGATTTTCCCTGCCAAAATTCGCCCCCGGGTAGGCATCTCGTTTTTCCAAATTTTTCAACCCAGTTAAAAAGCCACTTTTCTGTTTAAAAAAAACTCGACGTTGAAAAATCTCGTACCTCCGACATGAAGTAAAAATGAACGATTTTACCAGAATACAAATTTCGACCGTCAAACGATTCGACTCCCCGGTTAAATAATTTATTTGAAAAATACGAAAGCAAAGTTAAACGGTGAAAAAGTAAATAACCCGATGAAAGTGCATTGCTCATTTTTAAATATTTATATTCTTCAGCCAGTTATGAAAAACGAAACTGCGCCTTCCGGACGTCTCTCGTTGGCTTCCAAAATATTCCCAAAAAAAATAAAAACGGAACAATGACTGCCCTATATATTTTTTTTTTACGACCCTGAATATTGGTTACATACATTGTCTAGGAAAAACACGCACAAAAATCCACCTCGCGAGTGAAATAATTAAAAAACCGAATTTTTGGCGTATCAAGATCCGCGGTCTCGGTGATGAGGCTGATTTCCATATCTCCGGATAAATTTCACGGATGTACGAATATTCGACTCCCCGGTTAAATAATTTATTTGAAAAATACGAGAGGACAGTTAAACGGTGAAAAAGTAAATAACCCGATGAAAGTGCATTGCTCATTTTAAAATATTTATATTCTTCAGCTAGTTATGGAAAACGAAACTGCGCCTTCCGGACGTCTCTCGTTGGCTTCCAAAATATTCCCAAAAAAATAAAAACGGAACAATGACTGCCCTATATATTTTTTTTCACGACCCTGAATATTGGTTACATACATTGTCTAGGAAAAACACGCACAAAAATCCACCTCGCGAGTGAAATAATTAAAAAACCGAATTTTTGGCGTATCAAGATCCGCGGTCTCGGTGATGAGGCTGATTTCCATATCTCCTGGTAAATTTCACGGATGTATGAATGTGTTAACGCGGATGTACATAGACGTGTGTTTATCGGTACATTGCCTAATGGCAGAGTTCCACGGTCTGTCAGATAAATTTATCGAAAGGTATGTCTCTGTACAATTTAAGATCAACAATGCCACGCGGGGGTTTCCGCCATCGCACGTGGGGATAATTTTTTTTTTCTCTCTTAATTTCGATTTCTGGACATTATCTTGAAAAATCGTCCGCTAATTCGATATTAAAATGTTCCCTAAAAATGTCACACATCATAACTCCTTTTCATTTAAGTATTCTCCGCATAAAATGGGAAAGTGACTAAGACCTGCTGAAAATTCGAAAGTTGATTGAATAATTGAAAATTGGAAATTCCTGGAAAATATGGAAAATCATTAATACAGACAATCAAGCCCCTATTAGCACAGAATAATTTCCCAATATTTTCTAAAAAATACTGACATTAAATGAAACGAAATGTTTTGCGTATCTGCAAGAGAAATATTACGAGATCACATGGTACAAACATTGTAAAAATAATATTCCAAAGTAAATGTTTTCTAAATATTCCGAATGTCTGCTGAATATTTACCAAATATACGATATTCGTTAAATACATAGAAAATATGAAACTGATATTTTGTGCTACTGAGGGCAGTTCTGCCCGAAATGTAATAATCAGCTGGGACGATATTCTGTTGAAGATACACAATGAATTAATCCCCGATTCTTTTTAATATTTCATTGTTTCATAATTTCGGGTTTCACGAGATCTTTCTTTTTTCTTGTTTTTTTACCTGTTGCTGTTACTGTTTCCAATCAATATCCCAAATATGTCTGATTTCGTCGGCGCTGGTTTTCGGAGAGTCGACGAACCCCTTCATAAGTGTCCCTCGCACTTAACAAAGTAGTGCACAGACACAGCCACACACACACGCGGAATAACGCACTGTTCACGCACGTACCACTTGCGATTTCGACACGAGTCCTTTACGTCGATCGGCGTTTTCTTTGCGATTCCAAAAATCCCAGAATTTACTTTGCCGAAAGGTACTCTCTTCGGCCTACTCCTCTGTTTAATTTCCCTAAGTATAAAAAAAAATCGTATCTACAATAAATTCCCTCCCTTATCACTTCTTTCGCTCCCCTCGATTATCTCTTTCCACCGAGACTGTAAAAAAAAAAACGGAAGCCACTATTTTTATTTTTTACTCATTTTTGGAGAAAGACTCGTGTTTTATATCACTACTTTCCCTATATTATTTATTTTTGGAGAGGAGGTAAAAATGGTCCGGAACTCTTTTTATGTGGATCTACTAATTTTTAGGGCAAGACGCGTGTTTTATATTACCACTTTGTCTTTGACGAGGCTTATCTCGGTGACCCTTTATTATCCCTTTCTGACGAGGAAGTAAAAATTGTCCAGATTTTAGGAATTAATTCTTTCTTTCTTTCTAGGTCGGGTTTTCAATTTTTAGGGTATGATTTTGGATTTATCGCTCGTGATACACTATCGATTGGAAATTACGGGTCTTGGGAAGGACGCAAAATCGAAGGATGCTCGTCTCGATCCAGACGTAAGTCGCGAATGACTGACGATCGAAGAGTGCGGCAAGCTCACTTTTATACCTAATCTGAGTTCCGTGATAAGAGCACCAGGTGTTGACGGGACCGACGACCGCCGTCGCGACGGCGGTGTCATGAAGAAACCGCGTGGGCGGATGTATACGAGAATGAGGTGCCCCGAAACGAGGCACTCTTATTAGCCAATTTTTGTATTTGATACCAAAATGGCCGAAAACCTTAAAAGTCTGGTATAAAGATAGATGAATTTTAAGCGTCTCGACGCAGATGACACGAGGAAACCACGTGGACTAATCTATCTCGCGCCTTTTTTATCCTCCATCAACGTCTTCCGGATGGTTTGAGCAAAATTTCGGCTACGAATTATGACATTTTCAGTCGTCGCACAAAATAGAAATGCTATGTTTTAGGTGTTGCATTAATAAAATTCCTCTTCTATCTCGCGCCTTTTTTATCCTCCATCAACGTCTTCCGGATGGTTTGAGCAAAATTTCGGCTACGAATTATGACATTTTCAGTTGTCGCATAAAATAAAAATGCAATTTTTTAGGCGTTGCATTAATAAAATTCCTCGGCCGACGTCGCGGGGGAACTTGATCTTTCGATTCATGTATCACCTCTTCTGTTATCAATTCTCTCAGGGCTTTAGAACCAAAATGGCCGAAAACCTTAAAAGTCTGGTATAAAGATAGTTGAATTTTAAGCAGAGCGACGCAGATGACACGAGGAAACCACGTGGACTAATCTATCTCACGCCTTTTTTATCCTCCATCAACGTCTTCCGGATGGTTTGAGCAAAAGTTGGGCTACGAATTATGACATTTTCAGTCGTCGCATAAAATAAAAATGCCAATTTTTTAGGTGTTGCATTAATAAAATTCCTCTTCTATCTCGCGCCTTTTTTATCCTCCATCAACGTCTTCCGGATGGTTTGAGCAGAAGTTGGGCTACGAATTATGACATTTTCAGTCGTCGCATAAAATAAAAATGAGATTTTTTAGGCGTTGCATTAATACAATTTCTCGGCCGACGTCGCGGAGGAACTTGATCTTTCGATTCATGTATCACCTCTTCTGTTATCAATTCTCTCAGGGCTTTGGAACCAAAATGGCCGAAAGTCCTGGACCGACCATAACCTCACTCTACCCGTGGGCTTAAAAATCGACGTCCTGACCCAAATGTCAGGAAATAAACGCCGATGGCGATTTACCTGATGCCAAGATCTCCGGGAGTCGATCTCTTCGTCGTCGACCAGCGTCTCCAGGACTTCGAAAGCGGAATGGTCGAAAGTCCTGGAGGCGTCGCATATAAACTCGAATTTCAGCCGCCCCGACGCCGAGGAGGAAAAGCGGGCTCGTTGTACGCGGAATCGCAATTGTACCGGTAGGAGATACCAAGGTAAAACCCGACCCGTCTTCGGGAACGACGGAAGAACCCGAAGAGGATGCTCTCGGAATACCTGAGCTCCCCTCGAGGTGCCCGACGTCGCGACGCTCCATTGTCGGAGGAAAGTATTCACCGGTACCTTCTTCCTTCTCCTTTTTTTTTCCGCGCTAACCGGAAACTCGCGTTGGATTCCCGGAATCGAAGGATAATTCCAGGAATTATACTGCATCCCGGAAAAATCCAGGAATTACTAGACGTAACGTATCGGTGCTTCGACAAGAGATTTTGTCATCGGTCGCGTCTTCGGAATGCAAAGTACCTCCACTCCATCGCTAAGAACCTCGGATATAATATTCAAAGAAAATACCCTGCTTCTAGATTTCCGTCGAGGTTAGGTTTGAATCATACCATCGGCCTTTTGAATACAAAGTCGGATCACGTAAAGGAAACACCCTATTTCTATTTTTTTTCCACGTTAGTTTTCAATCACTTTTTAATGCAAATTCAGGGTTGAGTTGATTAAAGTCATCAATTTTAAACACCAGATTTTTTTAAACACTCACTTTTCAGTAATATCGATTTAATCTTTCAAACGACGAGCTTATGTAACCAATTAAGATACTTAAAAAGATTCTCATTTCAATCGTGATTAAACAAGAAATGAATTTTATCAATCCTGCGCAAAGTGCTTTCACATCATTGTTAAGAAGTCCTGATAAATCGTGAGGAAATTGTGCTTAAGTTTTCAAGGTTAGGTTCGAAAAGTGGTGATAAGATATTAAATAAAGCCGAATTGGCACGAATGATTAGGAAACAGGAAGAGAAGACAGTAAAAGTGGGTTTCGAGAGAAGGGGAAGGTCGGCCGCCATCTTGGTTCTGGTGGCGGAGACCTTGAAGAGGGGAGACGAGGTCGCCGTACCAAGGGCGACTCCGACACGAGATATCCTCCCGATGATCGATGACGACAAGAAAACAGACTCCTTTCACATTTTCACATTTTCACATTTTTCACATTTTCACATTTTCACATTTTCACATTTTCACATTTTCACATTTTTCACATTTTCACATTTTCACATTTTCACATTTTCACATTTTCACATTTTCACATTTTCATAGATTACGGATTCCCCAAAACAAGATGGCGTCCCAATTACCCAAAACTGCGCCTAATAAACGAAAGTGAGCTCCGCAACCCTTCCATCTCATTAACAAGAAGCGCTTTTCTCATCCACGAAGAAAGAGCAAGATGAGAAGGATCGAAATAGAGCGAAATGGAAAATAGAACACGCTACACAGCGGAGGAGCAAGCGCGTCGGTGAGAAGAAAAGGCCGCCGCCATCTTGGTTCCGATAGCCCTGACCTTGATTAAAGGTCGCGGTACCAAAACTCCAAGAAAAGCCTCTGGACCACTCAGACTGATCCAATGATCTTAAAACGCCATAATTCACGATTCCACTCCACCCTGGAAATTCCACCATTTCCAAAATGTCTTAATTCTCTCTCAAGCCATTTACTACATCGACCATCAGCGTCCAAAATGGCGGACGCGGTTGAAAATATAACACGTCTCCTCCCGCGCACAGAAATCTCCACTCCACTTTCAATCGTCAAAAAATATATAACCATGACAGTGAGGTTATAAATCTCGTCTTGAGGCAGAGGAGAGCGAAAGAAAGAGAAAAACTCGATTTTATGCCGAACAGATAGCGAGGCTTAAGGTTATATGAAAGTGGCGTCAAAAAGCGTTTATGAAACTTCTCCGAGCTGGGTGTACCGAATCGTCTGAAACTTAACATCCTGAACGTGGAAACTAAAATGAAAGTCGCGACAGACATAAGGTTCAAGAAAAAGAAAAATTTCTTTAAGGGCATCTTCAAAATTTCTTCCTCAAAATTGAATTTCACGGGTGTCGGGACCTTCCTTAGGGTCTCTATGTCTACGTGGTGAAGTTTCAGACGATTCGGTACACCCAGCAAGGAGGAAGGCGTCATGAACGATCGACCCCGCGCTACTTTCACACCCCCTTAACGTGGGGGAGGGAAGGGGTGGCGCCGCCATCTTGGTCCCGCGACCGCGACCTTGGGTGGTCCCAGGGTCGCCCCCTCCCTTTCTTCCGTTTCCAACCCCGAAGAGGGTCAACCTCGATGGAGGTTTTCGCGTACCGTAAGGCGTTGCGGCGCTCGACCAACTGACGCCCAGACGACCCGACGTCCCGCGATTCTTACGCAATGACGTCCCCTCCCCGCGTGCGACGCCGACGACGCCGACGACGCCCGGCGTCCACGCGGAGGAGAGGACCACCCCGTCCCGACGGCGGCGATCCGGCGGAAACCGGTGCGATCCGGGTCTAACGTCGGCCGGCGTCGCGACGCCGGGGAGGGTTACTCGCGTCTACCGCGACGCCCTGCCAGCAAGACTGTCTCTGTCCGACGGTGACTCACCCTTGTCGGTCGTCTCGACGAAGCTCTCTACTGAAGATCTTTATATCCTGAGGGGGGAAATGTGGAGGTTAAGGAATTTTGAGGTTATGCTTAGTAGGTTAAGGGGACCTGAAACTGGCATCCGAGGAGTCGGAGTTCATGAAACTTATCCCTGAACTGGGTGCACCGAATTTTTTCAAGACTTTACAACGTGAATATGTAGGCTATAAGGAAGGTCCTGACACTCATGAGACTTCATTTTTGATAAGAAATTTTATAAATACTTATAAATAAATTTTAAAAAAATTGAAATTTTGGGAGTGTCAGGACCTTCTTTATTGATTCTATATTCACATTTTCAAGTTTAAAGCAATTCGGTGCACCCAGTTCGGGGAAAAGCTTCATGAACAATTGATATCTCCGATGCCACTTTCACATCCCCTTAACCTGCAAAATAAATCCTGGAAATTCCTTCTCAATCTCCACAATTCCTTCCTCGGGGTGGGTATCTTAAATGCATAAATGTACTGACTCTGAAATATTTCTTAGATCCCTTTCTTTAATTTCTTACATACGAAATGAGTAATTTCCCGTAAAACAAAATGGCGGACGTGGACGCCTTCCTACCAGTCTCTGGTATCACCAAATCCGTATGAAAAGAAATCATGTCCGCCACTGTGCACATATTTCTATTGTTCTTAAGTGATTTTTTTTATCAAAATCTGACTTCTCGTTGAAGTTAACAATAAACAGGGGCGGTAAAGTGCAGTTCTAATATTCTACAGGTGATCCCGGGCGCAAAGTACCGCCGCTCATTACCTGGGAAAAAGTTTTAATCGAGAAATTTTACCAGATACGTTATCGACGAGTCCTTTTATCCTTTAGCCTCGGGCGGGATTAATGTGCGTTGAATTTACAAGCTCGATGTTTTCGGCCACCCCCGGCTTATTGCGTCCGCTGCATAATGTATCCATTCAGGTCGCTTTATTGTTTCCGCGATCACAGCCGAAACGCGCCGGCCACTTTTCGATTTTAATCAGCGAACGTTAATTTAATTTTGCATTTTACATCCCGCCGTCCTAATAATGCAGCTTACAAACAACGGCCCAGCACCGAGCGATCAAATAACAGCAGTCCCCGTTTGCAGGAACAATTTATCCGACAACCGCGACAACAATCGAGGCGGTAATAAATCCATCAAACCGGAAGCAACTATTACGATGAAAGACACGAAAATTTTGTTACAGTGAAACACCGAAATCTGGAGAATGTCGACTTTCACCGGTGAATGTCAACATTCACATAGTCGCTTCGTGTATGTCCGAAATATTTGCTAAATACCCTTATTTCCGACTTACACCGGTAAATGTTGACATTCACCGGTGTGTGATTGTCGACACACACTGGAGAGGGTCCGAATGTACAACAATGTAATGAAATATTCGATCTTTCACCGACGTATTTGGTATCTGTTAACATTCACCGGTGAAAGTCGACATTCTCCAATTTCGGTCATTCACGGTAACATATTCACCGAATAATAATTATCTTCGCCGATGGCAAAATCATTATTCTATCGTAAAATTCAAGATGCAGTGGACATTCACAGGGAATTCCAGATTTTCAATATTTGTTTATACGGCAAATTAATTATCAATTAATTCCCACCCTCTCTGCGGTGTTCATAAATCGGGCCACGTGACCATGTCAAGGATGCACTTCTCTGGACCAAATCGAAGATGGAAATTCTGAGGTCACTCGCGGGATACCCGAAATTCCGAACTTCCGAAATTCTGAAATGCGGAAATGCCGAAATTCCGAATACTTTAGGCCGGAAAATGACACTGGGACATCCGTCGATTCGACGATACCTACTCCATGAACGAGATACTGGAGCCGCAAGATGAACGAAATACGTGTCCGTAAGCCGAGGGAGAAAGAGAGAACGATGGGGTCGCCTACGAGGAGGAGAAGGACGGAAGGTCTGCTTAAAGCGCAGGCTTGGCTCGCGTAATGTAGGTTAAGCTTTTTGTCGGCTATCCCGCGATTTCGAGCCGACGCGCTGCTGCAACTTGCGCGAATCCTCGTCTTTTATGCACCTCGCCGGCCCTCGGGGGATTTTTTTATCTCACATTTTCCACAGTTCTTGGAATCTTCACCGAGGGTTGACAAATGAGCCGCGAGGAAATCGTCGAGAAATGTGATATTTTCCCGAATTTTTCCCACGCTTCATTTATTATCATTTCTTGCGAAGCGTCTGGAAATGTGAAATTTTCTCCAATTTTTCGCATGCTTCTTTATCATTTTCTGTGAATTATTTAAAAATCTGAAGTTTTCTCGAATTTTTCGTGTGCTTCATTTCTTATCATTTCCTGCGAAGTGCCTAGAAATTTGACATTTTCTCGAAATTTTCCCGTGCTTCGTTTCTATATCATTCCTTGTTAATTATTAAATTCTTATAAAATTTCAAACTTCTAAGTTTGAAATTTTCTCGAATTTTTCGTAGGCTTCATTTCTTACTGTTTTTTCCCGAAGTTTCTAGAAATGCGAAGTTTTCTCGAATTTCTCTCATGCCTTATCATTTTCTGTCAAATGTCCCGCAATTTCAGAGCGACGCGTCGCTGCAACTTGCACGAAGCCTCGTCTTTTATGCATCTCGCC